CACAAATGCGCATCACATTTGACAACGAAGAAGGGGTTTCATATCCGGCAAAAATGTATGGGCTATCGATCCCTTCCATCTCAAATACAAAGTGGAAGGTGGCATCGTTATGGTGAGCGTATTCGTCACTCAAAAGAACTGCAAATCTCAGAAAGCAATCAGGTGGGCATGGTTTAAATGCAGACTACTTAGGAAGTTCTAAACGGACAGGCATTACCAGTCGTTTTTGAGCATCAGTTAAGCGAATAATTTGCAGGGTTATCTTAGCTCAATGGCACAACCTAACAGGGTGAGTGATAGAGGAGGTGAGTGTTATGGTTTTAAGGACAGTACAAGAATTCAAACCCCTGGGCTACCAAGTAAGCGTGTTTAAGACTCTTCATAAAGACAAGCGGGAATATAAACCGACGAAAAACAGTCGAGAAGACTAACACTTAAGCTGGTCAATTACAGTAGGATTCGAACCCAATAACTGGTTGAATCATTTCAGACGGGTAAGACACGTGGTCAAGAATTCTCTCCCACCCCACCCCCCAGCACACACACGAAGACACATCTGAAGCATTAGGGTAAACAAGTGCGGAATAAATAAACTGAACTTATTGTGAATGTTTTACCATGACAATAAAGCTGCATTTAAGTCTGCAGTTTGAAACTTCGTTTTTTTCGGAAGGAGAGCAAACAAGTCGGAAAAGTAACGATTGGACAGTGATTCGAAGAAGTTATACGCAAGCTACTCAAGACATACCAGATTTTAGTTGGGCGAATTGAGTGCGAACAAATTGCTCGAGATGAGTGCCGGCAATCCATACATCGGAATCCGCAGCATTGTACAATTCGGCATTGTAGAACATCAGTCCCAAATCCTGAACAAGTTTATCTAACCCCGCGTCCAGTGTGTCTGTGTTATATCGTCCCTGTGATAGCCAATCACGAATCATACTCAAATCCACCGGGTTGGTAATGATTTCGTAGTAATCTGGAACCTGGGCAAGTAAGGATGGAAGCGGATATGTTATTGGTCGGGTACAATTGGGTCAAACCATTAAACAGGGCGAACAAAGTGTGAGGTGAACTCCATAAGCGTTGAAAATTGTGAATTGACAGACAAAAAGAAGCCGGAGTATGTTGGTTGCAATTAAGTAGAAGATTCAAACAAAAAAACCATTTATCACGGTCTTTTTATGAATATGACAGAACTTGCAGTGGCATCAAACAAGGCCTGTTCGCGACCGATTAGTCCTGGGATATGTGCCAAACATACATGACGCCGTGATGATTCTTTCTTCATTCCTCAACTCTTTTGCATTGAACAGACATTTATGCAATCGACGTTCGAGAAGGAGATTGCCTATCCGGCAAGCCAAGTCAAAATAAACTTTATGAAACCAAGAGGTGGATTTTCACAAGTTATCACAACTTCGGTGTACATTCGAAGAAGAAAACATGAATCCGTCGAGGAGGAAACGTACTCAGATACTTGGAAACACTGAAAAGGCCGGAAATCTACGTTCCGGAATCGCTCCAAAAGCAAATGTTAAACCAACGAGGACAATTTCTCATGGAAAAGGAGCGAATAAAAACGAACACTAATGTCACTGTGGTTACCCAAACCTCTCTTGTATAAATATCAGACTGTTTTGTTGTAGCAAGTGAGATGAAAGAAATGATATTATCTCGCAGTATTTGTCTTCTAACGAATCGGATAAAGGGATGCAATGTTTCAAACTATGAATAAAATGTCATCCTCAGAAAAGCGACATTTTCTTTTAAAAAAGGTAGGGATGAATATTGAGCACCAGAACGATAACTTTATTAAATGAAGTTGAAACTTTATAAGTCGCTCTTCCAGTCGAAACCTGTGTATAATTATAAAACTGGGCAAATTGAAAGGTAGGCGTGGATTGCAAGGTGATATAAGTGAGAAAGTTGAAAGCAGTGGTTGATGAAGTGGGATGGAGATGTGGAGACATATCGTACACAACCGGTTCAGTACACTTATACAAATGAAATTTCATCCAGCTGAGATTCATGGTAGATGGTCACTAACAGATAACCATGCAGTTACTCACTTCTTCTTTGTCTACCGGTTCACGGAATGGCCAAGCATGTCGATGCTTGAAAATAGCATTGACCAGACGAGAGCATACTTCCTGAGCACTCTCAGTCTGGCGCTTTACTGGAGTTCCTGTATCACCAGATGAGCTTTCGTCTGACGATGAATTACGGCGTCGGCGTTTAGCGCTTCGACTCGCTGATGCCGAGGCAGAACGTCGGAGAGAGGTTGAACGCGAACCGTTCACTGATTCGTGAGCATTGACACTATCCTCCGATTCGTCTGCGGAGGACCTTTCGGATTCGACATCCGAGGGGTCGTGAGCTGTTGTACACTTGCGTGAGGATGATCGAGTTGGACGTGAACGTGAACCAACCACGTCGTCTTCACTTTCCTCGGCATTGTATTCCTGTTGACAATAGCGTTGGTACCTGATGTGTTCAGCGAAAGCGGAAAGTGATAGGGCAAATGTCACGGATTAGATTGTGACCGGTAGAATAAACCACATGTTGGTAGCATGAGATTACGAAAATTGAGGGGAATAAACGACATTTTAGAACAGAAAACTATAATAATAACCGCTTCATGAAAGAAACTTAGACAAACAGCACACAGAGGCATCGCCAGTGTTACTCAACCGCGCTCTACGAGAATGCATCCCTAGCCTTGGGAAAAAGAAGTGCGACCTGTAATGCAATGACCTCATTCGTACGCCAGATTCATGCACATCAGGATGCTGTTGTTGAAGAGATGCACGGTACCGGGAGGAAACCCATAACAACATTCACACTTGTCGACCATTGTTTGCAAGTGCGTATTCAGCGAAGCGGTATCCATCCATTTGTGTTCAACCTTCTAAGAAGCTAGTCTCCTACCCGTGACCGAAAGATATATATATATGGTGGCGTGCAGCCCCGATGCTCGTTGACTTATGACGATCCACCAAATGATGGGAGTGCTAAAAGAAAATGAGCAACACAGAAGCTACAAAGCCCCAAAGTGGGGTTAGACTGGCACTCCGGATCGATTCACACTAAAGGCAGTGGTTTAAACTACTCCACTAATACCAGTCGAAAGAAGCAACATCCAGACTTATCCGGTACAAGGAAGTAAACTTCACAATTATAAAGATTACTATCGGCAATCGACTACTACTAAGAAGTGCTTGAAGGTGGAACGGTGGACGCAGAAGATTGATACAGTCTCAATGAAAATACAGTCACTGAGGGTTCTCGTTGACAACTATTCCATATGCATCAAAGGCCAGTGACATGAAAATGGAATCGGTTACTAAAAACCGCAAGAACTTCATGGATAATACATCGAAATTTGGCGAATTGTTCTGTAAACGGACTAGTTCAGATGTGGCACACAGTGATAGGTTGACCTTGCTGTGAAAATGCCTCCCGACAAACGGACACTGGACAAATCACGATGAAAGCATGAGTACAATAATGGTGGCGGTTCTTTCCACAGACATACCCACTGTTTACTGGGAAGCACCAACATGCGTAACTGCTGGGGCGGGGAGAGATAGCGAATGCAAAACCATGTTATACCATTAGCGTTAAGTTTTAACTCAATCCTACGGAATCCGACAATTGTGTGCGCTAGTAAATGTCACTAAATCAAAAGAGAGCCTACCTAAAAGCATCAACTAACAACCCATTTCAAACGTTAAGACGGGTATGGCGGTTACACCAGAGTCTAGGGCAGCAAAATAATAATTGGGGAACTGAAACTTACGTGAGGCGACGACTTTCACGGGTTGAACGCTGTGCAGAAGAAGTAGTACGGCGACACGCGTGACGACAACTGGTACATACCCAGACGTCTCCTCGAGGAAGGTGATGTAACGGAGGATTGTGACAGGATAAGTGGAACGTGTTCGGACAACTGGAACAGTGCACCATGTCACCGGAGTCGCAACTGCACAAAAGGCAGCTGGTATCGTGACGGAATGCTTGTTTTTTAGTCCCTGGATAGGATAAAAGCAAAAGCCAGAAGAGGTTAAAAGAAAGCTAAGCATGATACCGCATTCATATAAAAGTAAGAAAATGAGCCATGTATTGAACCACGGAACGAACTACAGTTCGTTCGCCCTCCTCTAGTAGTATAGTACGACAAACCTTTTGTTCTAATGTATAAGCAAAGAACCAACACTTGGAGAGGCGAACCAGATGGGGTTGCAATACGAAGGGGTAGGTGTGATAACACCTCGAGAGACAGTGAAACAGTGCACGAAAATCGGCCTAATGAAAGCGACTGAACCCGCACACTGCAGCCCAATTTTTAGAGAGCAATCAGTATCTATGCGCGGGTTGGAGTCCCGTAGAAGTTTTTAAACCTTTTATAAATGGAAAAATAATTACTTGGGTTAGCAAGAAACATGTACCGAAAACCAATGACGATAGTTGAAAATAGGCCAGTGGATTGGTGCCGACAGACACAAGTAAACACGACAAAATCAGTTGCGATCCATTCAAGTCAACTGCTTACAGCGCTTCGCAAATACCAATCACAACACTTTAATGCTAATCAATACTGTATGGCCGACCAGCTTGTGTGCATGACCTATGTTAATTACCGTCAGCACAAACGTGATTTAATACCATCAGTTATATGTTTTTGTTCTTCTGTCTTCTTAGACATATGCGAGTCATTCAAATAAATTCCTAGCCTATACGATTAGCTCGTTTTATAAAACAGTTGGGTAACCACTTGGGTTAACCAAAAAAATAGATAGCATTCCCGGCTACGTATCTGGTAGGTTGGTGACAATGAACGAAATAGTAGCAAACCGACAGCAGTTGTCAGTTTTCATTAAACCAGAAAAGAAGTGTACGCATAGTTAGATTGTGTGCTTCGTGCACTGACCTTAGAGAAGTTCTTTCTTTCTACCTCCCTCGAAAGAGGAAAATTCTCTATCCGCTAACACGTTAGTACGTGGCTCTTGTGCATTGTAAGCTTGGGGACGCTTGGGGGCGATGAGCATCACGCCGATAATGGCAATAATCGTTGTGGAGCCCCAGATTGTCTTGGTGTTTGTGTGCCACGGGACGTAACGACAGCAGAGATTCAGTGAATTAGATTATGAACGAACCGACAGTTCAGATCGGGGAGCGGTATTCATCCTGTTTAAACAGCTGTATTTCCAAGACAAATACAGGTAAGAAACAAACAATAATGCATACAAACGAACGCAGCAATGTATAACAACTGCCGCGTCTTAACTCACAATGACAGCATTTGAAATTCCTTTAGAGTTAATTATAATTTACAAAGCTAACAATGATACTTTAGTTAAGTGTGAAAATCAACTGAAAGTTTAGTAACTTGGACAACCATTTTTCTTGATAGAAAGCCTTGCACGCGACAAAACGCTCATCCTTTTAAGATCGTTCCTCTGTATGAACAGGCCAGAGTAGGCTTTTCCAACTATTTGATAGCCCAGATCGTCGTGACTTACCATACGGTGCCTGATTCACAACCCACCGGACACAGTCGATTATCACTTAGAGATGTTCAAACATGAAATGCGCGATGAATACACCCAGGCATCTGTTTCAGATTAGAATCGATTCCGATCCAGACCCGAAAGGCATGCTGAAAAACGCATATTTGAGCTGTTACCTCACGAATTTTCAAGTGTCTACGGATGATTGAAGGAAGGCTTTCAAACGCTCCATCACGATCGGGAGCTTGATGTTTCGGTAAAAGGACTTTATCGCCCTCGGTTCCCTCTGAACTATCCCATAATGATCTATATTCACACCCTCTGTTGAGGAAGTCCTACTTACTACCTTCTAACTGCTACGTTGTTTTCAGCCAAGTGAGAGAGAGAGATAGCAGGAAGTTAACAATCGGAAATATAACCTGTTTGATGGGTCAATGAGAGGCGGTTCAATTGGATTACTTGAGAGAACCTGATTTCAAATCATTCAGAACTATAACATAATACGATCACCAACACGATAATGCAATGCGCGGATCTTGGATGTGGAAGTAAAGCTCGAAGTTCGGTCGGCAGATCATCGGCCTAAATGAACTGTGGATCTAAAGCGTTAACCGTATGTTTTGTATGTTGGTGCATTCCATCGAAAGCTCGTGTAAGTCTCAGTAAGTCGTCCTCCTAGCCTATTTTGGACGACCGAACACTAAAAAACCCGGGATACTGGAGTATCCAAGGGAAATGAATAACGGCTTTGAAAGCCATCACCATTTCGTTTCTCTCGGTTTCTACCAGGAAAAGTATGGACATTTTGCTTATTTCGGCATTGCGCTAAAATACCTGAAGTAGTTGAATTCTGAAGTGACATCTGAGATGTTCGGGAGTCCGATTTGGGACGTTTGAGTGTACTTGTACGGGTGGCTCGTTTTTCTACTTCATCATCAGATTCCTCACTTTCTTCACTTTCATCGTTTTCCTCTTCGTCCTCATCCGAGGAACCGTCGGCCGCACGATGTCGACGACGCTGAGATCGAGCCAGTCGAGCCTCTCGACGACGACGTTCCANCCTTGGACGCAGGTCGACAAGACGGACAAAACCAGTCACCGGCAGGCACACGTCTTAACGGAGGTCGTAAGCAGTAGAGATGGAATGCCCGATTGCATCCATCGCAGAGAAGTAGATTATCATCATCACTTTTGTGCCGACAAATACGACAGCGTGCATCTTCCACAGACTTCTCCCAACGAATAGAAGCATCCAAACAGGCCTAGAAATAGAGCACAGAAAATCTGGCTTAGATATTAGATTCCGGCGAACAGGAATTATATCAAAGGATTATGGACAATGATGGAATGAACAGCTACTCTATATGATCGCAACATTTGGTGGGGAGGTCAAGTGGTTTACGTCGTTGACACTGTGTTTTTGGTCCTAGGATCCGAAACTTAGCACCGCTACCCAACCTTTGCTTTCGCCTAGCTCAATACCACGCCTATGCTAGTGAGGAATTATTTGGTTCACTATTCTGAGTTCTAGGGATTAGGTTGCCGGTTTCGACGATTGAGCAGTAAGTTCTCGTGACTATGGAGTTTACATATACGTCCTTTGTCAATACGAAACAAAGGAGTGATTTACATGATGTCTACAAACGATCCGAGGAAAAAGAGAGAGTGTGGACTAGGCACCATGTAGAACACAGCCTTAGAATCCGTATGAAAACCCTAACCAGGAAATCGGGTCACATAGGTCCCGTTAGGCTCCCTGGATGGGGACCTCGGGATGAACGTAACCGATAGTCAGAGACTGAGGGATATAGCTGAGTGTCGACTCTATTTTCAACTTTCCTGTTTTGCTCCTACTGTTCATCCCAATGGGCTGCCGAAACCGGCACACGAAAGAGCATGGTGAATGGTTGTTCAAACTGAAACTGTATTGAAACCCGGTCATGAAAACACGACTCAGCGGTCGACTTGAAAATTGTAGACACCTCCACGCAGTGGCAGATTGGCTGTTGTGAACTGAGCTGAACTCTATAAATACTATTCCCAAAGAACAGAGTAGGATGCAGTGGTAATCTTTACACGCCCAAAGAGCGACATAAAAGAGTATTAATCAATTTCAACCTACGTGAAGTGTCACTACTAGTCTGTGATGTCTAAAGAGACGGTGTCCAATCCGAGTGCTTGGAAATTTAAGGTTATTAATTGAACGGAATCAAGGTGGGTTGATCGGAATTTTCACTCCTATACATTGGCACCAGCAACAAGGAATGTTTACTCCAGTAGGGAATTGAAAGATCAAATAATGAATTGCACCGGTATAAGTGATTCACAGAATACAGAATATTTCTTTCACATATTACGCAAACGAAATCTGATCTCATCCGGGAAAGTTGCACCCGTGGCGGAAAGTGTCTCGTTGAGTAAGAGCGAAAGCTTGCCATTTTTTACACACATACAGACAGAAGGGTATACCCAACCGTTAGGAAGACCTATTATTCAATTAATGAAACTGGCGATCTAGATCCCAGGGCTTAGAGTGACGAACTATAAAAGATCTCAGTACGATAAGCGTGGTGTTGTTTATGGTCAGACATCACCAACAGTACAGCGGTCTGAACTAGGCTGAATGATTCAGAACTCCCCCAGGTTGACGGTTATTCATTTTGGTCTTTTATATGAAACAAAGTTCGTCTAGTAGTACTTTTTTTATTTTTCCACTATAATCACGTATAAAAGTTGTGAAGTATGAACGGTAGTCAATCCATCAGTATTGGCATTGGCGCACAGTTAAAAACCACGGTTGAGGGTGCCAAACTGACAAAATCCGTTGTATTCCAGTAACGATTAATCTCCTGGAGTGATTATACCACGAAATATAATGAAGCGAAATCCGCGAATCTCCGGTAAACCATGTGAACACTTACATGAAGTAAATTCAACCGTGTTAGAGTGCGCGCATTTCGAACCTCAGTGCGCCACTGTGACAACCACGTCCGCGTTCGAAGAACATGCAAATCCGGATCCTTGAGCATCGGATCGGCGGACGACGCGGAAGACGAATCTGAATCATCTTCATCTGAAGCGTGGCTCTGGAGCTCTTGTTTATCCTCCAGACCCGTTTCCTCCTCTGGTTGTTCTTTACGCGCGGGGCACAGGTCGGGCACGTTTAGAAAGCGAGGTATAATGTTTTCGGCAACTTCGATGAGTGCGTCCACTAAGCCCTGACGATCAGGTGTTTGTTGCCCGTTGGAGTCAAACGAGGCGGATAATCTTTTGATGGGTGAATTGTCAGGTGACAGTCCGAAAGATAAGTTGACCTTGGCCAATTGCTCCTGCCACCGAGTGAAATCCGGCACACCGCCCAAACCACCAGAGCGCAAACGAACTTCAGTGTCCAACACATTCTAGAGAACCGAATCCCACGAGAGATAATGAAAACATAGCGACAACGAGCAAAGATTCGATGGAACGCTAGCTAAATCAGAAAAAAATTCAGTTAGCGATGAAGGTGGGAAAACCTGTTGCATAATGAAACTTGAAACTATGATTCAAGAACAGACATCAAACCAATGGGTTGGCAGGCTTTCAAGCAAACTTCCCGTAACGAAGAACTCGAACACTGATTCGTATGAAGCCGAATTTCAAATCCATTTTAAGATAGAAGGTAAATTCGTGTAAGGCCTCATAGTCAGTCCGGATTCATATCACTATATGATCGAGCGAGTTACGTAAACACTGTTCCGTAGGGATACTTGAAAATTTTCCGATCCGGTACTTAAATTAGTTCTCTGGTAGGAAGTTGAATGATCATCCCGCCGTGTCAGCACATTAAATACACGCATAGCAAAACTGCACGACCTTCTATCTTCCACAGTGCTAGTTTATCCTTGCTAGAAATCTTAACAGTGCATAACCGCCACGCTTGAAACAGCTAGAACAGAGATGTGGATGGACGCTGCGCAGTGCGACGGTGGCGTGAAACCAACCAGACTGAATAAAACTGAATACATTGAACATTAGTTTTCACCACAACAGACGGGACGATTTGTTTCTGGTATGGGTTTCCGGAAGACAACAATAAGAGCCTTGAAATGCAAGGACAGCGATTATTCCAGCTGGATTGACGGATCCCCTTTGGCGTGAACGTCACTTACTGTTAAGGAAGAGGTGAGTACGTGTGTGGTAACGTATCGCGCAGTCTACAAGCGAACCGCACATGATGCATTAACAGCGCGATCCGGTAGGCAAAAAAGGAAAAGACATTTCGAGGAGCGTCTTAGGTCGCTATCTTATCAGGTGACTTCTGTGACAACTTATTTTGAATAACTCTGAACCAAGCGAACTGTAACGGGATTACCAATGAAATTACAGCCTCGACTTCTTGCTGTTTTATCCGAATATTCCTTTTGAGTGATCCTAGTTGTGTATGGTTGGACTTGACTACAAAATTTAATGATGACTAGAGCAAAACTCTTTGTTACAAGGAACGGATGTTCGAGTAGGAGAACCAGGAACCCAAGCGTTGACAGTTGGAGTCGAGGATCAGTGAAAAAGGCTTAGACGCCTACGCTATCCTGTTCTGATATGGCACGCTGTGTACAAACGAAGAGAATAGCATATTAAACCAAAGGTCGGGTTGATGCAAAGTACGATACAAATGAGATTTCAAAATACCTTTAATAATGCACCGGCCAAGGCTGCTTCCGCGCCCAAGGAACGCTGATGAGTATTGATCGAAGGAGTACCGTTGATATCCCTGTAAAGAAAGGATAGTTTCCAGTTAGACCGCAGCAATGTTCACGGTCGATTATGACACGCGAAATGAAAAATATCACATCCATCCTCATCTGCAATAGAATCGCTCACCTGAGAGAAGTGCTGGAAATTTCTCGGGCATCAGTTTCCGTACCAGTCAACGGTGTTTTTGCATCGTCTATCGCCAGACGATTAGATAGTGACTTCTTCCATTTCATTTTGATGGCATCCAGCAGACCATCAGCAAACAAATGTCGTTTAAGATTACTTTCTCGTATACCACGTTCCAGCAAGGCGGATGCTAATTGTTCTAACTGTTCCGGTTGATCGTAAACTCGCCAAGAGCTCCATGCCTGCGGCTGAGTAGCTTCATCGTCCAAATTGACCATTACATGTGCCGGTGTTGGCAGTGTGGATTCTGGCTGTTGTGATTCCGACCGCGCGGATTCCCCGTCCTTGGATGAGTCTATCCCTAAACAATATTGAGAAAATAAGTAAAAATGAGATGATTCAATACTGTTGTCATACATTTTTGTGGATAAACTTGAATTAGCAATACTAATTAGTTTGACAAATGACTGCAGAAAATCAACGATTATGGGGAAAAATTTGTATAGAATACTTTTGACAATGCAGAGTGTACCAGTTGAACAGTCAAGAAAGAGAGAATTCCAGTAAACTAAAGTCGAAAGGAAATCGATTGGATGCACGAGCCAGATCACTCATCCGGTGATTAGCGCGATCCCAACCAGAGAACCTGAGTGGAATCTAAGCCATATGTACACGTCCTACGGTCGGGGTTCTTATACCATCATGTCAAGTTTTAGTTCGACCACTTTTAACTTTCTTCCATCCATGTACTCCCCCGGCAAATATCTCAGTAGGAGGAAAACAATTTGAGAACTTGCAAACACAATNAAACACAATACGGCCATCGCCATCCATGGGGATTAATCACTAGCTTTAGTGTGCGACCATGATAACTGGTCGCTTTCGTCCGATTCCCTTAGATCACCAGTGGCAGCAGGTGACGTTTAAAGATAACCAAACCACTTCGACTTCTCGGGGAATAAGGACGGAAAGTATAAGCATTTGAGTCAGCTTGATAGGAAAAATAGTTAGTGGTACATGGGTTTTTCCAGACACCACCCTTTTCTGATCAGCAGATACAAAACGGCAAAGCTTCATTAGGAAAGCGACTGCTCAATGCTCCGACTCCCATGCATCACTAAATATGTGAAGCTCAGCACCCGCAGCTTCATTCATATATCTTTATTTTATAACCTTTAGTATTTGTACCTCAACCGGAATGCCCTTAATCTTGGCAACAGATATTATTCAGTGGACGGGTTACACCTCCGTACGAGTGTTAGGTTAAGACATTTAAATCTGTACTGCATGGTAGTTTCTGACCACTCACCGAACCATATAGCACATTTCGCTGTTAGTTAATATACTTTCAGAAAACGATGCACAATCAATGGTAAAAATTAATCGATAAGAGCGTTTGCGTTCACTGATAACATCTTACTGTACAGTTAGTACAAGAGAGAACATGAACGTCAACGAAGCGACTCCTAAAAAATTTCTGGAATAAATATTGCGTTCAAACGGTTATGATTTCACAAATTCTGGCCTCGTGGGCAACTTGGTCATAGCTCGGCTTAATACAATGCGGGTCATTTCGCTATTCGAACTAACTTCCTGAGCATCAGTTGTCGCTTCTAATGAGTAGAACATAGATCTCCATGACTGTGTTTCACTCTTTTAGGCTCTGTGATCGAAGAATTACCCTGACTCTAATGATGTCGTTGCTTGACAGCTTGCTTCGTCAACAAGTGTCTAGGTAACTCGCAAGTGTCAAATTATTGAGGAACACAGTGAAAAAAGGCGAAACGTATGAGACCTACATTCATTTTTCTGTGACAAAAGTAGGAAACACAGGACCTAAAACAATGCGCATGATAAAACATCAGAATTCCGTAACGAACGTTTGCCGTTCGATTTTCTCGCAGCGAAGCTCCTGATAAGATGAAAACTACAAGTACTAAACAACAGCTTATGTTAGGTATATTTAACGAATCGGTCTCGGCTGTTGGCGACAGCTGGAAAAACAGATGAAGCGGACTACCAATTGATTAATGAGTTTGCTCACCTGAGGAATTGGTGATCGAGTAATTTATTTCCGGTGCACCCCAATTGGACTCGACAAACAGACAATCCGGGGCGCATCGAAAATACCAAATTCGGCGATAGTATCGATCATATCCGATTGGATGACAACGCAAGGCGGAGCGTGCTTCGGCCGATCGCATCTCATGGGTACGGGATAGGGTGGACAACGCGCGTTCCTGTGCATTCTCTTGAGCCAAGGCAGCACGACGCTCTCGCTCCAGATTTTCGCGTTCTTCGCGTTCTGCCGCAGCCCGGGCAGCAAGAATTCGACGTCTCTTGACAACGGACGCCAAGTCATCTAGGGTCGGCAGGAGAATCGGTGTAAATTTCGGGAACATGACAGAGAACGTATTGAAAATGACTAGATGAACGACCGTAAACAACCAACATAACAGCGATAATTTAATCTCAACCCAACAAGCATGAAGTCCTTGAAGAAAGATTGGAAATCGCGAGTAAAAAAGTTACTCGAAATGGGTACAACACTGTACTCGAGAAGAGAATTAGCAAAATCGGAACCNCAAAATCGGAACCATTTCAGGCGCCCACTCAGAACGGATGATTTTGTCTATAGAGTAAATAAATTAGGGACGGGACACACGGTGGAAATGAAACTACTCCGGCACACACTAGAAAAAACATACTTTTTCGTTACATTGCACCCAAGTTCGGACAGCTTTTAAATTCAACTGTGTTAAAAGCACCCATGTGCAGGAAATTTACTGAGAAACCTGGAGGATCAATAAATTTGATCTAGATAATCCCAATTATAGTGGAAACACTGCTACCTTAGAGTAATGGCCGCATGAACTTGGAAAATTAACTGAGGAAATAAGATAGAAGCGACTAAGGGTGCAGGAGATATACTGGGGGGATATCTCGGCTAACGAACTGTAGTGATAAGTGGTGACTGACCGAGACAGATACATATTGGTTTTGTAAACCACAAGATAGGTGTTTCTAGTCGGTAACCTAAATATCCACAGAGGCCGCAGAAACCTAAATACAGAAGCCAATACGAATGACTTCCACAAAACGGATGACACATCTCGATTATAGATCAGGCGTAAAAACAGACAGGAAAATAACTAAACAACAGTTTATGTGATCCCCAGTAATCCACAGTTGTGGACTTTGTACGCTGGTTCGGTGGATGAAGTGCTGCCTGCATTTATTCATCCGGCCATCTACGCACCCATTTATTGTTTTCCTTCATTTGGATGTGAGTTTAGTTGCGTTGTTCTGTGTGAAAATTGGTAAGTCTCGTAAGACATCATTTTGCTTAGAAACTGCTCCCAGTGATGTTTCTGGTAGGTTTGATGCCACGTTCAATCAATCACGTTATTTGAGGAGTGGATCTAACTGAACCCATAATAATCTACTTCAATATGAAAATTTGGCTTTGATTATTTGTCAGTTAACTACGTGACGCTATTAATTCTTACTATCACGAACCAAGTATCACGAAAAAATATCGGTACCAAATGGTATATGAAACGGACGGCTTGCCCGTTGATCCAAATCGTCGGAGCGCATCTCGAAGACGAAATGATCGAAACGAGTACGAAAAATGCCACAGCAAATCAAAGTCCGGCGTGTGAATCGAATGAGAAACTCGCGGCAGATGGATAATCATGATAAAACATACAAAGCTGAACAGAGACTTACCGTCCATTCCGTTGGTTTCCTGTTCCACCGGATTCGATTCCCTCTCCACGTGTGTCTCCGGTTTTGTGTCCACGGCGGTGGGTGTGTCAGCGGCCGAGTCTTTTCGAGACTCATCTTTTTGCTCTTTTTTGCGCAAATTACGGTCTTTCAGGAATTTTATTTTCTTGTTCCAGGCTTCTGCAGCCCTGCGTTGACAGGCTAAAATATGATCATCAATCAAGTCCAGATCGAAGAGACGTTCCACAGCCGTTTCTAGAATTTTCAAACGAACATCCGGACCGGATTCATACACGTCCATCGCGGTCAGCTGATTGATCAACTCCATTGTATCTGACATTGAATTACTCTAAAAATATATAGGCGAAGACAAAATGAACAATAGATCCATAAAGGCAGCTCGGTCGCATAACACACGCACAGAAATTAGTCACTTTGGAGACGGTAGAAAATCATCACGGTTTGAAAAAAAGTCGAAAGAGACCAGATAACTCACCAACGTTGTACTTGCAGTATGCTTGTTAGTTTTCGATTCCGCGCCCACTGTTTCATGTAAAAGAGCTAGGCGAAGCAGTTCCGGAGCAGTGTATGGAGTCACAGGAAGCTTCGTCAAACGGATACCCAGCTCACGCTTTTTCTATCATCAAGAGAGGATGAATTAAATGAATCAACACCGATCAAAATTTGCTGCATCCAAGTTGTAAACAACATTCATGATAGCAATAAATGAACGTTTCTAGGTTCAGTCAAGAATTAACTCTATTCATCGATTATGGACAAATTTTCGGTGAAAATGTTATCACGAACTTTGGAATAGATGAACGTAAAACGATTACGTGGTTATACAATAGGTGTAGGTAGGTAAATTGGCCATGAGTAGAAAGAAAAAAATGGTGTTACAGAAAGAAACAGACTCCCGGAGTAACCGAATGAGATTTTGTTTCAGTTCCTCAGACAAACATTTCCCGTAAACCAATAAACCGTCAACACAATGCACAGAGGAGTTGCGACAAGTGGCGGTACAGGTATAACAAAGGTTAGAATTGACCGCAGATGCCAAGACTGGATATGA